CTTCACCTTGCATCCGGTGTCAAGGTGTCCCCGAAATTGTCGCCCTACGTCATGATGTCACTGATGAGACGACACGACGCAGTGGATGTTGTGAGGCATTATGAGTTTGGGGGCAAAACCTGGTTGCGGCCATTTCGCGGGCTACGAGGAACCCCGGGCACATCGAATGCGTGATCACGCCATATTCAGTCGGCGGTTCCTACTTACCGGCCTTACTGGAAGACAGCGGAAGATGGCGCAACCCGAGGTACTCCGCAACTAACGCAAGACCAGAGAGCGTACCTACCGTGACTATACAGTAGCAATGCAGGGGATCTGAGCGGCTTGGAAGTAATGCACCTAGTGTTGACGAGAAAGCGCATTTCAGGGACGGATGATCGTAGGTAGGATCTGACAAGCAAGGTACGGCTACCACTTCCGGCAGAGAGCAACTCTTTCAAAAGCAACTGTTCGTTAAAGCGGCCGAAATCATAAGCCCGAGAAGTCGCCCCGCTGCCACTCTGCTCTATCATACGACTGCTCTCCGATCTCGTATAGCTTTTGACATGTTTAAGGCCTTGTTCACCGGACATTGACAAGGCTCAGCCCGGCTGTGATCATTCGGGGCGACAATCTCGACAACATCGTGTCCCTAGGGTCAGCTAGCAATCTTGCAGATGTGTCCTGACAAAATTCACGACTGTCACTGGGCTGTCACTTTGCAGAGCAATGGCTCTTCGAATGGGCAACGACGACGGACGACTGGCACACTGGATATGGGAGGGTATCAGGCAATGCGTTCTGTGACGTCTTCCATGCCTATGGAGTCTAGCACACCTTGATTGAGACCCGATAGGCGATGCGCCCAAAGGAAGATACCGTCCAAACCCCCACTCGCCACAGACTAGTAAGCTGCCTTCAGCCCTTGTCTGCCCTGTTCGAGGAGTAGAACCGGAGCATGGGTCAGCGGGACTACGTGTGAGACAATTGGCACGAATTCTGCTAACGATTACTATATGTGGCCACTCAGATACTTCCACAGGGAAATCCCTTCTACAGATGGCTGTTCTGTGTCAGTTAATCGCGTCAGCTTCATTCCATGGTCCCACGCCACCACCATCACACCGCGACCGAGCCCACAACGGCAAAATCCTGTGAACAGCACACGCTTCATCCGGTGGTTGGACACGATGGCTGTCTCGTTGACGGACAAAGATGGATGCAATAGGCACAAGGCTTCACGCTCTTAGAAGTCGAGGCGGAACGCAGCCGAACGAAGTGACGAGGAACACTATTTGCTCTTGCTTGATCGCAATCTGTACATGCGGCCTGCAACATCTTCAGCAAAGTGCCATCACAAATTCGCCACGAGCGGCATTCCGAGCACGAACCGTGGATCTCGCGTGCCACGTCAACCGTCCTTGTCAATGCGCGTTCGCCGTTGTTGATCGCGGCAAAATGCATGCAGCGCATCATATGCAGGTCTTGCTAAGACCCAGTACCTGCTCTAGTCTTACCAACTTCTTCCACAAACGCCCCTTCACAAATGGTTCTGTGAAAAAGTGAGGCTTCGTAATTTCCGAAGTCGTAACCCTGTTTGCCGATCCGATTACGCCCTAAGCCGGGACGGCCACCACGATGTACTCCTGCCGATTGCGCGGCGTTCGGTAACACCAGTCGACACGGCATGCGTGAATGACATGAGTGAATGAGATTTTTGGAAGCAAGGCGACCAATAGAAGTTGTGGTAGAAGCTCGTGCGCTTCAGATGCCGATCCTTTGAGTTGGCGAAGCGGCCCACTTCCTCCCTTGACTTTGCTTATTGCGGAGCCGGAGTCGTGAGCCTCACGAATGTCTTGACAGTTGGCTGGAAGCCCTCCTCTGCTCCACCCCTCGAAGGATCTGGTTTTTGTTCTGTATTGTCATCGATTCGAAGAAAGAGGACGCACATGGACGGTCTGCTTCAACTTGGATGCTGACGAGGTCCAGCTACATCTAGAATACCGAACGCCATGCGTCAACACTCGCCAATCTAGTCTTAAATCTTTACTGCATCGTCTTCGTGTCCAGGAAAGGCTCAGACGAAAGAATACGACCTATCAACGTTTGCCGCATACGGTCGCGCTCAAGCACTCGACAAACACGTTCCGATAACCCAGAGACTGGACCGCGCAATACTATCAGACTCCTCCTGGATACACGTACCACGATACAGATATAACGCAGGTGTCCTTAGCATGACCTTCGAGGTTACAGCTGTAACGCCCGAACGCCCCCGAACCTAGCCAGACTGCTACGACGTACTCTCCTCAAGCCCGACAACCACGCGTTGTCTATCGTATCGTCTCATACACGAAAAAACCTGAACAGGCCTGCGGACTACATCAAGACAAAATCCACCAAAGTGGTTGACTCAACGTCAAGGTAGGCTCCAGGGTGTGCAGCTTTTCCCCAGACCGGCTTGGTGTGGTTCAAAATACTCTTGGTCATGCGTAAACGACTTAAATCTGTTGGTAAATCACACAAAGAGCTAGAGCGCGTTACCAAAACCACAATGGTGATACGACTTGTTCCTAGCCGGTCGGGCTGTGCTCAATGGGGACTTTCTTCGTAATTACACATTAATAGATTGCTAGTTGAGCAAGCCCCGGGTATCATTGTACAAGTAGAAGGCTAAGAGATCCGATGCAATGCCTTCGCTACGATGGCGTTCTTTCAAAGCCTTCTCCAAGGGGAGACGAATCAAACGTACTTACCTTCTAGTAGTAGCTCCTGTTTCGACTTCTCGGGCAGCAACGGAAGAGATTCCTTCTGTCGCATGTTCGTACTCCGGTCGCTGAGTACAGAAGTGCCCGACGAGCGCGACTTGTTCGACTTGGAGGACTGCGGCGACGCGAAGTGCTGACTGGGAAGTTCATCGCGGAACACAGGCGTGCGCCGACCGATCGTCCCTGGGCTATCGGTGTCGCGCTGATGAGCCTGCGTGATGGTCTCTGCTCTGTCGTCGCGCGCAACGTCCGCCTCAGTGACCATTATCCCGCCATCTTCTTGATCCTGCTGATCGCGCCTGACTTCCGCCTCAGTTGACAGAGCCTCATCGCGCACAACCTCTCCCGCAGCGCTCAGCATCCCATTCCTTACAACCTCCCCCTCCGCATCCAGCGTCCCCCCAGCCTCAACCCACTTCCTCAAATGCTCCTCCCTCAACCTCTCCCCAAACCCCGTCCACCTCACCCCGACCCTCATCGGAATCCTCCCCGCCCTCTCCAAAGCATCATACCAATCCCTATGCTCTGTCCAAACCAACCTCCTACTACATTTACTCGTAGTCGGCGATCTCCCTATATCGGCGACATGCTCAAACAGCATTCCCCCGGTCGCCGTCGGCGCGTCGATATCGAGGTTATCCAGTATACTAGCTTTGATATCGCGATCAAAGCACAGCCATTCTACCACATTATCCCCCGTCCGGAAACCGAGTGCGGAACCACCGAGCTGGAAGACATCAACCAGGTAGCCGACTTCGAGACACCCCGGTGGGATTTCGTCACCAGCCGGAACGGGTTTCTTGCAGAATGGGTCGTCGGATCGCAGCGCGCAGACGAAGCCGTGCGTTGGGCGGTTCAGCAGTGAACGTAGTTTAGGGACGGAGATGAAGGAGGCGTGGTAGTGGTAGATGGCTATATCATTTTTTGCAAAGCGGAAGTATTGCGCTTGTTTTAGCTTGTTGCCGTTGGGTCCGGGGATGGGTTTGGGGCCGTATGTGCGTGGTTTCTTGGGCGTTATGGGTCGGGGTTGCTTGACTGGCTTGGGTTTGGATAGTCGGGGGTGCTTGTTTGGGGTGCCTTTGGGTCGGGTCATATCTTTTTCGTTGTTTCGTTTGGACTTTGCGGCGGTCTTTGGGCGGGAAGGGAGGGCGAATAAGAGGGGAGGAAAGAGGGAATTGATTGCTGGAGGAGGTCACATGTTTTGGTCATGGAGTGTTGTAGCAATGGGGATAGTGTGCACGGGGATTTAGGCTACTGCCGCTAGAGAGGTGCTAGATTCAGGGTCTGGTTCACCGTGAAAGTGAAAAAAGAGAAGAGGGGCGTGGAGACTGGCTGAGAGGAGGAGAAGCTGGGCGGCCTTTCCAGAGCTAGCTCCCGCGTTCGCAGTAGAGCTAGAGCATGAGGTCTGAGAGTTGGTCTGGCTCTCCGTCACTGCTTATTTTTGGGTAATGCGAAGTGGACATGCTGATGTTATAGAACTTTCATCAGCTTTGGTAAGTCGTGGTTTGGTAAAAGCGGTGTGTATCGCGGCAGCTTATGGGTATGTCGCGCGCACGAAGGTGTCGCTGTAGCTTTTACACTACATCAAGATGTGGATCTCGTATAAATTGATAGATCAAGCTCGGATAGATTAATACAGGCGTCGGAAGTAAGGTATGAGACGTTCGTAGTAGTCGTCAAGCTCCTCCGTTGGTGTCAAGACATCGTATTCGCCAGATACAAGCTAGTGTATAACATTTCCAACTCTTGCCCATGGTCTTCCGCGCTTGCCAGATCTCGCAGATTTGAAAGGTTGAGAGCTACATCCTGGCAGCGGGCGACGCAGTTTCTTGGTTGAACTCGATGTAGGAGTCCGGCTAGAGTCGCAGGTTCTTGTTGCTAGTGAAAGCAGTGTTGCCGCGTTTGTAAGTACCTCTGTCATCCTCGGGGGCGTGTAGTAATGTCTCATAGCTGATTCCTTGGTTGTGAGATGAAGAAAGCGACCAAGTGATCAAAGCTTTCCCACTGGTTGTGAAAGTAGAGAATGTTCATGGCGGGAGTGGGCCATTGCACGTTCAGCGCGACAGAAGCGGATAAGTCGGGGAAAGACCGCCTCGTTATCTACACTCCAGCTCCCTCACTTTACCTCCAGTGAAGGAAATAGTAGGCGCTGCCGAGCACAGACCTATGCTCATTGAGTGCACCGAATCTATACGTCTCTCATTCCTCTACCCTGGTTTCTTCGTTTCGATATCCCATTGACTATTCCACAACATGCGGATTTCAGGATTCCTCGGGTTAGCAACCCTCATCGCTGCTATTGCAGGCGAGGTCTGTCCAAGGTAGGTATCGTGCCTCTAGTCGAGTTGTTGTTCTGGTTACGTCCTTCTATCAAGTACCAAATCTGTTTGATTACATGTCGCTGTAGTTGACTCAGACTCTAGTTGCGCAAACAACGGCCTTCTCACTGTCAATCTTACGATCCCGGGTGCACTTGATAAGATCCTTGTTGCCGGTGACCCCGATGATCCGGATGACTCGGACGACTCGGATTCACCATCAGATATAACAGTGACTCCAGTGCCCGACGCGTATTACGAGCATTGCAAGCAAAAAGGATGCGCCCTGGAATGGTCGATGCAGCACTCCGATAGCGAGGCCGGCGCTCAATTTGCACCTCCCCGCATGACCGCACAATCTCCCTTTCAAACTCCTCAAGACCTCCGAGACTGGGGATGGCATGACGGTGTCAAGATATCGCAAGCTTACGATGACCTCAGCAGCATCTGGTGGGGAGCTGATGTGGCACTGAAGGGCCTTCAGCTTCCTTGGAAGACAGATGCACAAGAGGGTCCCAATCGTCTCACCATTGTAGTGCACCAAGACCCCACTGCAGATATCAGTGTTGATAAGCAAACTTACAAGGTCGACGGAAAAGAATACCGGGCTTCGGAGGCTGATTACACTATGACTATGAATCTGCAAGATGGTGTTATCATTGCCATAAGTCGCAAAGGCCCAGATACGGCAGGCAAGGAGCGAGAGCCGCCGCTGAAACCAGAAGACATGCCAAAACTCCACCAATTCTCCGATGTTGGCTGGATAAAATGGAAGGCCATGACCGAGGCGAATAATCTTCCTGTTAACAATCTTCGGTATTTCTTATCGCTTGGGATCGCGAACACACAGACGATATCAGTGTGCGAGAGGATTTTCAGGGATAATAACCAAGCAATGAAGAAGTGGCCTGGAGACGTTTTTCTAGCCGGCACATGGGACTTCCGTGCTATCTTGGGTAAGTTGCACCCATCTTAGAGGGGTTCAGGTATCTCGTAGCGTAATCGGGGTTGTGTCGTCTCCATTGCAGTAGAGCATAACCCCAAGGCTCACTTGAGACCACCGTCTTATCCTGGAGGACTATCTCGGCTAACTCATGGACAGGAACCCCGAACGTACAAGGCTTTGGGTACATGCTGGTTCAACACAAGGCAGATCTGGGCAACATGTTCATTAGTAAAATCCATGTTTTCCTGTGTGAAAACTACGAGATTTGCATTGTCGCATTTGTGTCCCAACCAGTGGCCACTCCAGTGCAAGATGCAATGGTCGGATCAATAGTCACCTCCGATCAGGTCGACAGACGCGACGAAGGAAGTAACGTCATGCGTTTACACAAGATCTTCGCGAAGCTGTGAGAGCTAGGGAGAGCGAGTCAGAATATATGGGAGGATTGAGGATAATTAGACCTTTGGCTGGTAGACAGACGCGATTACCGGTCTTAGATCTGGATAGTCTTGGCTGCTTTGAAGGAGTGTATGGAGCTGGAGGCCTCCGCGACCTCCTCAAACTGGGGATCATATCGCTGCCCGGCTAACCAAATAACATCGACGATTGTCACATTCAATTTCATCTCTTTTGCGGTGTCGGAGTGCTCGATCCAGTCAGGCAGCGCGATCAACGCCACGCCTTGTAGCAAAAGTAAATCTGCTCCGCCGGCCAATGATAGAAGTCGTGGGCGTGTCGAGTCGGAGCGGATCCGGCAGCCGCGACGCGCGCGTGTTGTTTTGAGGGGATCCGAATGCAGGGAAGGAACTTACATATACCACCTCATGCCCCATACTGCGTCGGTCCTGAACTTGCACCGCTCAACCGCAAACACTCGCCGCCGATCAAGTGTCATTGCAGAAGCCATGTCGTGCCATGACCACGCCAATACGTCAAGCGCGGGCTCGCGTCATATGACAGGCGTGCCCCGCGCTGTAGGATGAGAGCTCGCGCATGACAGCCCACGAAGGAACATCTGCCGCCAATACGCCTGTGGGGTATTAGCCGTTCCACCGAGCGACGTGCTGCTCGCTGGTCTGGGCCATGTTCAGCATTGCAAGATTAAAGGGAGAGAATTCCTCGGCTTTCGTTACCCCGCTAGCGACCCCGTCGACTAGAGGCTGCCGTCTGCCCTATCAGCCGAGTATCTTCGCCGCATTGCGCAATCGGGACCGCGGCCGGTAGCGAAGAAACTCCCTCTGGACTCTCTTGGATTCGTCTTTCCGAGGTTATACCACACCACTCATTCGCCATGAGGCCTGCGACTACTGCGCCCGCCGCTTTCCGCGCTGCGACGTCCATCGCACGACTCCCCCGCCAGAAGTGCTCCTTTGCGACGCGCTGCCTAGCTTCCCAGACTGCTGCGAGATCGGCCCAGTTTTCGAGCCCGCGACGAACATCCGCAAACAGCGCCCCAACACCAGCACCCAGCCTATACACTCGAATTGGACAGTACAGGATGGCGTCCTCGCAGGGAATCAAGAAGATCCAGGTCAAGAACCCTGTGGTCGAGCTCGACGGCGATGAGATGACCAGGATCATCTGGCAGGTCATCAAGGACAAGTTCATCCACCCATACCTCGACATCGACCTCAAGTACTACGATCTGGGCCTGCCCTACCGTGATGAGACCAACGACCAGGTAACCCTCGATGCCGCCGAGGCTATCAAGAAGTACTCTGTCGGTGTCAAGTGCGCGACCATCACCCCCGATGAGCAGCGCGTCGAGGAGTTCAAGCTCAAGAAGATGTGGCTGTCGCCAAACGGCACCATCCGCAACCACCTGTATGGCGCACATTGGAATAAAGGGGAGGACATGACTGACAGCACATTCTAGAGGAGGAACCGTGTTCCGCGCGCCCATCGTCATCCCCACCATTCCCCGTCTCGTACCCGGCTGGAAGCAGCCCATCATCATCGGCCGCCACGCTTTCGGCGACCAGTATCGTGCGAAGGACCGCGTTATCCCCGGCGAGGGCACACTCGAGATGGTCTTCACACCCAAGGGCGGCAAGCCTGAGGTCATCAAGGTCTACGACTTCCCAGCGGAGGGCGGCGTCGCGCAAACCCAGTACAACACCACCGAGTCCATCTCCGGCTTCGCACACGCTTCTTTCAAGATGGCGCTCGACAAGAAGCTGCCGCTGTACATGAGCACCAAGAACACCATTCTCAAAGCATACGACGGCAAGTTCAAGGATGTCTTCCAGGCCATCTACGACAGCCAGTACAAGAAGGAGTTCGAAGCTGCCAAGATCTGGTACGAGCACCGCCTGATTGACGACATGGTCGCCCAAATGATCAAGAGCGAGGGCGGCTACATCATTGCCATGAAGAGTGCGTATCTCTCCTACTATCATTGCGACTTCGCTAACATTCCCAGACTATGACGGAGACGTCCAATCCGATATCGTCGCTCAAGGCTTCGGCTCCCTCGGCCTCATGACCTCGACCCTCATCACCCCTGACGGCAAGACCTTCGAGGCCGAAGCCGCGCACGGTACCGTCACCCGCCATTTCCGCGAACACCAAAAGGGCAACGAGACCTCCACCAACCCCATCGCCTCCATCTACGCCTGGACACAAGGTCTGGCCAAGCGTGGTGAGCTGGACAACACACCTGAGCTCGTCGTTTTCGCCGAGCAGCTCGAGAAGGCTTGCGTGGACACTGTGGATATCGACAAGATCATGACTAAGGATCTGGCCCTTGCGTGTGGAAAGAAGGACCGGGCGTCTTGGGTCACCACCAATGAATATCTTGATGCCGTCGAGAGGAGATTAAAGTCGAGCTTGAAGGAGAAGCTATAGATGTACAGAAGTGTTGAATAGTCGCGTGGGATATTCCTTGCATCGGATCACTCGGTAACAGCGTGATACCTAGACCTGACCATGTAGACCGAGTTCTGCTTACTCTTGGGCAGGAATCGATTGTTCACGAATTCAATTGCGCCTGTGCATGTCTTCCTTTGCCAGTGAGGCGCGAGAGCGCGAGGCATCTTTTTTTGGCAGGGAGCTCGTGCCATGTCGTCTCCACCTGTTCCCGGAGCACGTTGCTTTTGATGAACTGGGTTTACGCTAATTTCCGATGAGACCCAAATCCTCAAAAAGAAACCAGTCTCTTGCATGTCTCACGGCAGTATGCATATGCGGGACGATCTGATGTTTGTTTGTTACACAGCTGATTGCAAAACATTTGTCGCGACTGTCTTGTTGAATTCCTAAGGCTTGTATACTTTGCATTCCGTTTAGCAGCTCTGTGTTGGGCCCTCTTGATCTCCTCGACAGTTGCTGGCCGTCTCATCCTAGACGGGATCACATGATGGAGGCGTTCACTGATGCTGCTCCCGGGACTAACCCGACTAAAGGCGCTAGGACCTACAGTGCGAGCCCGACCACCACGCCAGCCTCTGTACCAAATGACAGCGCAGGATCTACAGCCACCATTACCACAACGTTTCCGTCGCCTAAAAAGCACGGCAGTCCCTCGACTCCCGACTCGACTCCTTTGCACCGACGCTTTCTGCGAGCAGTCTCGATGCCGCCTGCGACACCGTCGCGTCCGCCCATGGAGAGCCAGAAATCTTTCGAGAAGGCGCGCGACAGCCCAGTCGTAGTTCGCCATACTCCCAAGAGGACACAACCATCGCCGATGAAGCTCGAAGTTGGCCAGGGCGCGTTCTACTTCTCAATTGAACTGCCCCCCAACAAGATCACGCCAAAGAAGAGCGGAACGACAAGCAAGAGCCAGACCCCAAAGGGAGAAGACACGCCCACGAGGACGAGGACGCCTAGCCCGTTGAAGAAGGCGAGCCCGACGAAAGAGAATGCAGTGAGTACACCCACGAGGGCGACGCGCAGTCCGCTCAAGCGTGACGAGACGACCAAGCAGAGCCCTGCGAGGCCGTTGTTTGGTACGCCGACGCGGGCGAGGATGCACAAGCAAGATACAGATCCACGAACTCCTGTTCGGACAACGCCCAGCCCGCGAAAGAATCACAGCGCAGTGAAGCAGAGTCTTGCCAAAATAGCTACTGTCACTCCGAAGAGAAAAGGCTTGCTCAAGACACCTGGAAGTAATCGACCTGGAAGTCCCATCAAGCGCTCGATCGAACAAGACGACTCACCTGTAGATCCGCTCAAGACATCTGCACGCCTGGCGAGGGAACTCCTATCAGGGCCAGAGGAGACACTCCGAATGCCATCCGAACGTCTTGTGGACCTGAAGGACGAGCACGCTCCAGCAAACTTGGTCGCGACTGCCACCGACCCGACCCCGCATCATGAATCCACGAGGCAGGCGCCACCAGCGAACAAGTGCCCAGAAAACATCGGACACCTCATGGCAAGTCTTATCAGCAACACTACTAGCACGCGTGACTGGTCAACCGCCTACACCCACGACATGGTCTCTCCTATACCGACACCCCTGCGCAAGGCGTCGGAGAAGCTCAAGCTGGGAGAGTCGCCTTCTTTCCTGCGGATGTCGGCCAATGGTACGGCCACGATGACCAATACAGACCCTCCTACCAATGTCAGCGAGACAGGGTCTTTGATTCTACATGAGCCTGCATCAGTCGACCCGGGACAGGAGAAGAGTAACCAGATTGAGTCGTCGTCGTCTGGATCAACCGAGGCGGCTTTTCCCTCTTCCATTACCACAAATCATACTGCAGACGTGTCAAGCGAACCGCGACCTGCACTGCCGTTACGTGCAGCCAGTCTGGGGTCTTTCAACACCCTGAACGCGACACGCGAGGCACCAGCCCCACTACACCGCCCGCTTCTCTTCCCAAAGCGAAGGTCGGAGACCCTTCAGAAAGCGCCGTCGCAGCAAGAACACCAGGTCAGGTGGCAAAATATGGAGACGGCTTCTTTGAAGCCCCTACCTGCAAGCCACCAGAGGCGAGTGGGGACTGATCCAAGCGTACTTTTGAAGATGCAAAAGGACATGGCCAATCTGGAAGCGACGATGCGCCGCTCGGCAGGCGTTGTCGACCCAGCGTTTTGCGGCCCGCTCAATCTGAACGAGCTCCCTGCAATGTCGAACGACTACTTCGTTAGAGGCCAGCAAGATATCAGAAGCCCAGGTGTTGTTGGTACACCAAAAACCCTCAGTAGAGCCAACTCCGACAACCCATCGATTGCGACCGTACAAGCGACTGGAGTAAGAGGTACTAGCAACCCACTAGCATCATTGAAGGTTTCCGGCACGCCAGGTATACCACGATTTAAACCTAGTGCTCCTACCTCAGCACAAGCAACGAGAGACCGTCTTCTTGCAGCTAAGAAGGAGAACACTCAGCGTACGGGTGTGACTAAGACTGCGGTTCCCGAAAGATCCCGCCCCAGATCAAAGACCACAGTGTCAGCAACAAGCAAGTCGGGTGCGGTCACCAGCACACCTCGCAAGACCCCAGCGACTCCGGCCAAACCCGTGGCGCCTTCAAGCACGACACTCAGCTCCCCACACAGCCGCATACCATCAGTGAACGCCGCCAAGCCCAGGATGCGAACACAGTCTGTACCTCAAGCTGGATCGAAGCCGCTTGCCAGTGCCTCGGGTCATAGTAAGGCTGTCGCAGCATTGAAAGAGCGTCTACCAAACGTACCAACTGCTCCGGTCAACACTAGACCTGTTCCGATCCGCAAACCTGTGGTCCCCTCCACTTCAGCCACTCATGTTCCCTCGGCGGGTCCGCGACCGTTTGAACAAGAGTTCGCTAGCGCAGGAGATATTGCTGACCGACTTACTAATTGGCACGACGAGGATCGGAAGAAAGCGCAGATCAATCGTCCGAAGGTCGCAGCCAAGAACACGCCAGCGAAGACACAGGCAGGAGGCCAGGTGGACGAGTCTACTACACCAGACGGCTCACCTGCAAAGGTCCTCACACCCATCAAGGTACCTGCATCAACTAGAACTCCAAAAGCCCTCCCTCCTGCCAAAGACGTCAAATCAAGACCTCTTGCGACCAAGCCCGGCGCTCCGTTAACGCCCAAATCCAAGCCCAGCGCGCCGGCCCCAAAAACGCCGGCCCCAAAGACTCCAGCTCCGGCGCCTCGCAACGCCGCTGCCGTCAACAACAACCTCAGGCAGCCCATTACCGCCGCCAAGACCCCAGTAAATCGCCGCATACCCGTCCTCGACCGCAACGCAACGCGTACACCAAGCAAGGCCATTGTCAGTAGTCTGGATCAAGCGATCGATAGGAAGATTGCAGAGGACGCGAGACGTGGGATGGAGTTTACGCCTGGTGGGAATCGGCTGAGGGATTTGCTGGATGCGAAGTCGATGAACGGGGGTGTTGTGCAGGTTTTGGAGGAAGAGGAGGAGAAGATGTAAGGATTTGTAGGGGCGATGAGGACGGCTGATGGTGGTTAGAGATGATATTTCGGTCTTCTGTCTTTCTTTTGTCAAGTTCTGGTGTTGTGTGTGGCGTTTATATGGTAAGGTATGAGATGGGATTTGAGGAATAGGTGGTGTAACAAGGAAAATCATGTAGATGGGTAGAAAGTTAATGTACGACTGCTATTGTAATTCCACGTCGACCACACCTGTCCACGTTCTACTTCCTACTACCCTCCCTATAACTCTCCCCAAACACATCGCCTTCCTCATCAGACTCGCCCATCTCTTCATCGCTATCTTCATCACCGCCGTCATCTCCAGAGTCTGAGTCTTCGCTCCGTCCCACCGTGTGACTAGACGTCTCACTCTCTTCGTCCTCATCCCTGTCGCTCTCGATGTCCTCCATGCTCTCATCTGAATCTTCTTCACCCTCACTAACTTCCTTCCCATCATCGTCGTCGGCTGCAAGCGTAGAACCCGACGCATCCGACCGACCTAAGGTACGACTAGACGCATCACTTCCTTGACCATCTCCACTATCTCCACTACCCTCGACATCCTCACTCATCGCGCCTTCTGCCAAGCTATCCCAGCTACGACTACGCTCAGAGGCTGTTGCAATCCTTTCTTCTGCTGCGTCGTCTCGCTCTTCAGCCATTCCTTCACTTAGATCGTTCCGGCGTTTAGTAGCATGCGTTGCGCCAATGCGAAAGGGATCGTTTTGGGTGGACATGTTTGCGGCAGGGTTGTAATCGTGGTACTGGCGCAAAATACCGTTCGAGCGGAAGCTAGTGGCGATGAGAGGACCGAAGGGGTTGGCGGGGGTGGTGTGGTTTGGTTCCTGTGGTGAGGTGTTGGGCATGACGGGTGCTTTTGTTGTGATGATAAAATCGATGATGTGTGTGCGAGGTGGATATGTTATCATGACATGAAGCAACGCCGGAGACTTTATATAGGCCAGGCGCTCTTCAACAAGAGACAGAGTCTGGGAGCTGTTTCTCAGAAGTAGGACAGGAGCGTTCGAGGGTCTCACATCGATGTCTTGTGTGGAGAGATCTGGGTTAAGACAGAGACATAGTTGTGGGCTAAGTGTTTGAGATTCTGAATAGAGGTATCGGCTACAGCATCTCATCCGATGGAAGTACGAATTCCAATCCCAAGCGTCCTAGCAGGAGGAGTAATGGAAATCTAGATCGTGTACAAATACCTCGGGTTGTCCTCGCCCATCTCAGCAATCTCTTCTTCAGACTTGCCCTCAATCCTCCAGTCCTCCTTACCAGACAGCTTCCTGTTATTCTTCATGCGGAAGTAGAAGTGCAGCGCAATGTAGATCGCGATACCGAGGGCTAGCAGCCCGATAGTAGCGCCGTAGCCCGGAATGTATGTTGGCGCGGTGTCGGCGGCGTACAAGAAAGGTGCCGCAACACCTGAGCAGTTACCGATGGTGATCTGCATACCGCTCGCGAAGGCTCGCTTTCCGTATCGGGGGTTGTTGACAGCGATCCAGGAGAAGGCAATTCCGGTCGCTACCCATAGGCCGAGCGCGACGATGAAGCAGCCAGCGAAGCTAAGGCCAAGTCCCTATATGCATGTCAGTACAGTCGTTGGAATTGTGGAATGTTAGAGGGCCTACCTTGTTTGCGATGAGGAAGATGTACCCGATCATACTAACAGCGAGCCCACCTATACAGTAAAGACCTCTGTTTTGCGACTTATCGCTGAAGTATGCGCAGATGACGTAGGTAAGGAAGCCGCAGACGTAGACGGGGATGGTCAACGCCTGAACCACTTGACGGCTCCATCCACCTCCGAGACCGTTGATGATGGTAGGTAGGAAGACGGAGAAACTGTAGAGCATGCCTAGTCCAACGAATTGTGCAATGGCATAGGCGTAGACCTTCCAGTCTTTCACACCCTTCATGACATCCTCGCGCGCGAGTTCCTGACCAGAAGTTGTTTGGCCGACTTCCTTCATTCGGAGCAGAACAAGGTTCCGGCGGTCTTCCTCGGTCAAAAAGCTGGCCGTCTCGGGGCTGTTGGGTAGGACGAAAGGTACGGCGACGGCGGTGATCACAGTTGGAATGCCGTTGATCAAGATGATCCAACGCCATCCGTTCCAGCCAGCTACACCGTCGAGCTCACCGATTGCATACGCTACAACGCCCTGTACTTGTTAGAGCCTTTCTTTTGTCTCGTGGAAGCGATACTTACACCCAGTCCACCTGCTAGTGCAGATGTACCGTAGAAGCACGCCTGTCTCAAGCTAACGTTGCGCCGGTTGTAGAACATGCTCAAGTAGAGAATGACGCCCGGGAACAAGCCGGCTTCGAACATGCCCAGGAGCAGGCGGCAGACGATGAGTCCAGCGAAGTTGTTGACAAAGCAGGAGAACGTGGCTACCATTCCCCACATGAACATGAGACCTCCGAGATATCGAGCGGGCTTCATTCGCTTCAAGATCAGGTTTGACTAGGAGTGAAATTAGCATGTAAGGCTAGTCTCTGGTGGACACCAAGCTTACTGGAGTTTCGAATATCTAGTGCATGGTCAGTGGAAGTTAACAAATGTCGGGTGGGTGGAATACTTACAACGTAGGTGACGAACAAGATAGATACCGCGATTTGGAACTGATTGCTATTGGGATCCATACCAAGATCCTCCTCCATCTTGTAGAGACGAGCATTGCCGATGTTGACTAGGCGAATCTGTCAGTCTAGATCTCAAGATGAGCATACTGTACGCACCTCGATCCATGAAGTTCATTAAGTAGATCCAGCAGATCATGGGCACGATCCGGATGTCCAACTTCCTCAGCAGCTTTGCTTCAGTGATAGGATCAATGTCAATCATCGAGGCGGATTGTTCGACGTCTTCGAGTTTGAGAGGCGGGTTTGGCGATGTGTCCGAACCTTTCTCGTCCCTGTACTCCGGTTCCGTGAGCACGGGCCCATCTTTGTTTGCGTTCATGCTGTCAACGAACGAAAACAAAATTGTGTGAGTGCGATCTCAAATTGGAGGTGTTTCCAGCGGGGAGGTAAGTTGCTGTGATCGTCGTCAACGGACCAAAAAAGTATTGGAACCAGTCTGACCCTTATAACCCGAACACCTGGGGAAGGGTGCCCCGGCCCCATGGGGAAGCGAGATATGCCATGCGCTTGGTATACGGAGACGCACCGTTGGCATCGATCAGGCAGAAAGACCGAAGCGAGTTTGATAATCTCGTCGTCGAAGTGCCGGTAGCCGTTCTTCCGCCCTGGCATGCTTGGAGGCTCTGGTTAAGGGCGCTTCCAAGCTTCTGATACTGGGGTAATTGGTGGTTAACCAAGACCTTCACCTCCTTGGATTCTGAACCTGTTTTGGCAAGGCTGGACGCGGATCGCGTCAACGGGACCAGATCTTCGGTACGGAGGGACGGGTATCTTCTATTGTACAGCCTATCATCTTGCGTAACGCAAGAGTATTCGCAATCCCGTGTGCCAGATGCTCGTAAAACCTATGCTCAACAGCTTTCCCATGTAACATGCACAGACTCGAATGCCTGTCCGGACCTACAGCTTCTGCACAACTTTGAACAGCCGAATCATGAACAATTTGCGGTTGAACACGAGAACGATACGCACAGAGCGCAATAATACTATATACGATCGTGAATCGAGTGAAGTGACCTTGATCACGGTCATGTTTGGTGTGTGCATGCTGCGATCCACAGCAGTACTCCTCTTGGTGCTGAGAAATGCCACGGATGCCGCATTTGATTTGACCGGAGGACGCACTGAATCTAGTGAGGAGTACTTAGTCCGAGAGATTGCATACAGATACTGCCTTCCTTTGCTCCGTGGGTGTTGTTGTCATGCTCGATACCAAGTCGCCAAGTCCTTAGCCTGCGTTGACGCGCTTGGCAGTTGTGTCCTATGCAAGGACGTCAAGCTTCTCCACACATCCGATGTTGCTACTGTATGAGGTAAGTGGGTATGACAAGAGATGACTCTTGGTGGTGAATGAGAGCGTAATGACATATCAGCAAGTCTAAGATATTTCAACAGAGAACGTCGCAATGTGAGGCTCTTCGACGGCTTGTTTTTATTCTTGCCCAGCCGGATAGATCGGTATGAGATGCATCGCGGCTGCGTCTCTACAAATTGATTCGAGCGGGAAGGCTGAAACATTGCAGCAGTGCTGCGCCTCGTGCGGAATGATAGATGCTTGTGCGGCGGGCTTCTGCATTCAAGAGGAAGTACGCCTGTTGTGCAGAGCGGGCAAAGGGATGTGATAGACGGCCAAGCACCGAGCCGTTGCCCAGCATGAGGAGGATCAGTAGAGATATGGCGCCGCTGACGATGATGATGAGAGATGATGGATGAACGAAGGCGGAACCGCTGGTGAATGATGGGACGAGGCAGGGGCAGCGCGTCTTGAGTGGCGCGTCGCTTAGTCATCACGCCCTAAAACTCACGGCGCGAAGGCACACAACGACTTGGAGATGCAGTGCTAAGCTCTCAAGACTTGCACATGAGATCCAAGGCACCATTCGACCGATTCAGCCCCACGTGGTCATCCCTGCTCGCCATGTGTCCATTGCGAGAAATTCGTTTGAAAGGCCGCGGCGAAGTATTGGCGTGGAAGAGGGGAAGGTTCATGTGCTATCCTTTAATGCTCCAGGGCTGCCATACAGTCACTAGTGCCCTGATGAGTTCCTCCGTTACTCGGACACCTGTACAGATTTCTTCTCGGTCTCGAGTTTCGGCACATGGAAGACCACAACGTCTCGTCTGCCAATCCGTTTCTGCATCTCGAGTAGACTGCGGTAGTAGTTGAAACCACACATACGAGCTCATATCATCGCTGAGCCTTGCATTGACAGCTTGTCTTAAAACGTCCTTTCCTTTCGTCTTCGGAAGGCTGATGGAGGAACGGCTGCGCTTATTAGCTGGAGGACGTAAGGAATACACGGGCGTTTACGGAGACCAAAGCCAGTCACCAGCACATTGACTGAAGCTGACATTGTGAAATGGTGAGTTTTCTGATGAAGATACTATATCGAGTCGGCGCAAAATATCAACTACCAGAGATCTCTGGCATTTGCTGTCGCTTGTCTGACTCATCGTAGACTGGGAGTGACGCGTGTGAAGCGCATTTGGATATCGTAAGACAGCTTTACCCGTCACGAGGTTCAACGTGCGGCTGCGAGAATTCTGTACGCGTAAAGCTCAGAACGGGTAGGGCGCTGATGGTGTTGGGCGAAGTTGGCGTTGGAAGCGTGAAGTGGTGGCGCGGTCGGGGATGACATGGGTTCCCCACGTCAGCCATGCAAGGTCCGGTAGCGGTGCACTTTGATTTCGAAGAACGCAACCCTCGCAAAAAGTATACTCCCGGTTTGACTCATACCCACAACCTCTCAGACATAATGCGCTGAGTTCGATACTCGCCCTCATCAATTGTAATTTCTTATAGCCTTACCTCCCGCGTTCAGCAGCTGGCGGCTCTTTGTGCAAGTCTGACTCGCACCGCCCACCATGGCGAGCAACGGCGTCAATGTCGCGCAGGGCGAGCCGACCAAGGTGACCATCCTGGGCAAAGACTCGATCGTCGTCGACTACGGCATCTGGCAGAATTACATCGCCCAGGACCTGCTTACCAACATTCCCTCGTCGACGTACGTCCTCATCACCGACACCAACATCGGCCCTCTCTACACGCCCACGTTCGAGCGCGCCTTCGCGTCGGCCGCATCTTCGCTCTCGTCCTCCCCACGCCTCCTCACCTACCAAATCGCGCCCGGCGAGACGTCCAAGTCGCGGAATACGAAGGCAGCTGTAGAGGACTGGCTGCTGTCGCAAGGATGCGTGCGCGACACCGTCATAATAGCACTAGGCGGAGGCGTCATTGGGGACATGATAGGCTATGTCGCGGCGACGTACATGCGCGGCATCAAGTTCGTCAATGTGCCTACCACATTGCTGGCCATGGTCGACTCGAGCATAGGTGGCAAGACGGCCATTGACGTGCCCGCGGGCAAGAACTTGGTCGGCGCCTTCTGGCAGCCCGAGAGGATATACATTGATTTGCAGTTCCTCGAGTCGCTGCCCAAGAGGGAGGTCGTTAACGGCATGGCAGAGGTGGTCAAGACGGCGGCAATCTGGAACGAGGAGGAATTCACAACACTCGAGGGCAATGCAGACGCCATCCTGGCTGCGATTGACCAAAAGCCCGTCAATGGCCGCAAGAACTTCGACAAGATCGCCAGCATACTGAAGCGCATAGTGCTGGGCTCAGTACGCGTCAAGGCCGAAGTCGTCTCGGCGGACGAGCGCGAAGGCGGCCTGCGCAATCTGCTCAACTTCGGACACTCGATCGGACACGCTTACGAAGCCATCCTCACACCCCAGATCCTCCACGGAGAGTGCGTCGCGATAGGAATGGTCAAGGAGGCCGAATTGGCCAGATACCTGGGTGTACTGGATCCCTCCGCAGTCGCGCGCTTGACAAAGTGCATCGCGAGCTACGGACTGCCCACATCGCTAGCGGACAAGACGGTGCGGAAAAGGTCGGCCAACAAGCATTGCCCTGTAGACGAGCTTATCAAGATTATGGCTGTGGACAAGAAGAATGCAGGCAAGACAAAGAAGATCGTGCTTTTGTCAGGCATTGGCCGGACGCACGAGAAGAAGGCTAGCTCGGTCGAAGATCGCGACATCAGAATCGCCCTCTCACCGAGTATATCTGTTCACCCTGGTATCCCGTCCGACCTGAACGTGACCTGCAGACCTCCAGGATCCAAGAGTATCTCCAACCGAGTCCTCGTACTTGCTGCGCTTGGAACTGGCTCGTGTCGCATCACCAACTTGCTGCACTCTGACGACACACAAGTCATGCTAGACGCGCTGGCAAAGATGCAGGGTGCTAGTTTCGCGTGGGAGAATGACGGCAAGGAGCTAGTCGTCACCGGCAATGGCGGTAACCTCAAAGCGTCGAGCAACGAACTCTACCTCGGAAACGCTGGCACCGCTGCGCGTTTCCTGACTTCCGTAACTGCACTGTGCCAGCCCGTCGAGGGCGTGACTTCCACAGTAGTCACCGGCAACGCGCGCATGAAGGAGCGACCCATTGGCCCGCTGGTCAAGTCACTTCGTACTATGGGCGTCGAAATTGACTACCAAGAGAATGAAGGCAGCTTGCCGCTGCGAATCTCTGCATGTGGTGGCTTTGGTCCGGATTCCTTCACGGGCGAGATTGAGCTTACTGCCAACGTGTCGTCGCAATACGTATCTTCTATCCTCTTGAGCGCGCCATACTCCAAGAAGCCAGTAACACTGCGCCTGGTTGGTGGCAAAGTCATCTCCCAACCATACATCGATATGACCATCGCCATGATGGCTTCTTTTGGTGTGCAAGTTGAGAGATCCCAAGATGATCCCAACACCTACCATATCCCCAACAAGCCCTACACTAACCCCACCGAATATGAGGTGGAAAGCGATGCTAGCTCTGCTACCTACCCTCTCGCCATCGCGGCTATAACAGGTACGACGTGCACGGTGCCCAACATTGGCTCAGGCTCCCTGCAAGGTGATGCGCGATTCGCTGTTGAGGTTCTAAAACCTATGGGCTGCAAGGTTGAACAGTCCGAAACCTCTACAACGGTCACTGGCCCGCCTCGCGGCGAGTTGAAGGCAGTCAAGGAGATCGACATGGAGCCCATGACCGATGCTTTCCTCACAGCATCCGTATTGGCCGCAGTAGCATCATCAAATGGTAGCACAACCACCACCCGCATCTATGGCATCGCGAACCAACGCGTCAAGGAATGCAACCGCATCCAAGCCATGGAAGATGAGCTAGCCAAGTTTGGTGTCACTTGCAGACAATTTGACGATGGTATTGAAGTTGATGGAAGGGCTTATGAGCTCGAAGCTCCTAAGGTCGGTATTCACTGCTACGATGACCATCGTGTCGCCATGAGCTTTGCTGTGCTCTCATTAGTAGCCCCAGCGCCCGTTCTCATCCTTGAGAAAGAATGTACCGGAAAGACATGGCCTGGATACTGGGACTCCCTAAGCCAAATCTTTAAGACCGAGCTTTCAGGTGTGGAGCTACCGCCAAGGCCAAATGCACACAAGGCAGCGTCGAAGACTGAACAAAAGTCGATCTTCATCATCGGAATGCGCGGCGCTGGCAAGACAACCGCTGGTGGCTGGGCAGCGCGTGCGCTCGGACGTCCCTTCGTTGATCTGGATACTGCACTCGAGGATCATGTGGGTATGACAATACCTGAGCTTATCAAAACACAAGGATGGGAAGGCTTCCGGAGCGAGGAGCTGAAGCTCCTGGCCCAAACTGTCAAGGAGAAGCCTAATGGACATGTCTTCGCCTGTGGTGGTGGAATAGTCGAGACGCCTGAAGCCCGCAAGATCCTCGTCGACTATCAGAAGAGTGGCGGTATAGTACTACTTGTCACGCGTGATATCAACAAGGTAGTCGCCTTCTTGCAGATCGATAAGACACGGCCAGCATACGTAGACGACATCATGGGCGTATGGCTGCGGAGGAAGGACTGGTACACGGAGTGCAGTAACTATCGCTTCCACAGTCAGGTTCCGGGATCTGGTGGGCTCGCTCAGACGCAAGGAGAAATTGCCCGTTTCTTGAACACCATCACTGGCAAGGCCACTACGTTGAAGGGTCTCAAGAAGAGGAAACACTCTTTCTTCGTCTGCTTATCTGCACCCCGACTTGAGCCTTGCATCAAGACTCTACCAGAGATAGTAGTCGGATCGGATGCTGTTGAGCTCAGAGTCGACTTGTTGGAAGACCCGAACGGGCAAGAAGGTCTGCCAACACCAGAGTTCGTGATCGAGCAACTGACAATACTGCGGACCGTAACATCGATACCTATCATATTCACCTTGCGAACAAAAGCACAAGGCGGGAGATTCCCAGACCAGGCATACGATGAGGCCCTCGTGCTTTACCGGACAGCATTGAGACTTGGTTGTGACTTTGTAGATTTGGAGATGACCATGCCAGAAGACATCCTGCGCGAGGTTTCCGACACTCGCGGATACTCAGAGATCATCGCTAGCCATCACGACCCCAAAGGCGAGCTCAACTGGAGAAACGGCTCGTGGATGCAGTACTACAACCGCGCGTTGCAGTACGGTACTGTCATCAAACTTGTGGGCGTCGCCAAGTCGCTCGAGGACAACTATGCGCTTGCAGAGTTCAAGAGCTGGGCGAACACCGCGCATCCCGTCCCCCTGATCGCCATTAACATGGGCGAGCACGGTAAGCTGAGCAGGATACTTAATGGCTTCATGACACCGGTTTCTCATCCCCTTCTGCCCTCGGCTACCGCACCAGGTCAACTATCTGCAGGAGATATTCGGCGAGGCTTGTCGTTGATGGGCGAGATTTCGACGAAGAAGTTCTTCATCTTCGGCTCACCAGTGGCACAAAGCCCTAGCCCGCGTCTCCACAACAAGCTGTTCGGTGAAACTGGGCTCCCGCACATCTACGGCCGCCACGAAACTATGGATGTAAGCTCCGTCAAGGACATCATCCGTTCGCCAGACTTCGGTGGAGCTAGTGTGACAATCCCGCTCAAGCAGGACATAGTACCTCTCCTTGACGGTTTAGGCCCGGAAGTTAACGTAATCGGTGCGCTCAACACTATCGTTCCCGAGAGCTCCGTCGACGAAGCCAGCGGTGAAGAGGTCGTCCGTCTAATCGGTCGCAACACCGACTATCTAGGCATGATGCTCATCCTCCGTAACGCCGGCGCTCAAGGCAGCGGTTCTGCCCTCATCATCGGCGGCGGCGGCACAAGTCGCGCTGCCATCTACGCACTCAAGGAAATGGGCTACGGACCAATCTACCTCCTCGGCCGCAACCCCTCGAAGATGGAGACCCTCAAGAACGCCTTCTCATCAGAATACAACCTACACGTCATCGGCTCCCCAGAAGAAGTCCAATCTATGGAAAGCACGCCACAGGTCGCTATCGGAACCATCCCCGCTGACCAACCCATCGACGTCGCCATCCGCGAAACGCTTTGCACCTTGTTCGAGAAGGGCAAGGCGAGCGTCAAGGACGTGGAGCCAGGTCCAGAAAGGATACTGTTGGAGATGGCTTACAAGCCCCCCGTGACAGCCTTGATTCAGCTTGCGATGGACAACGGGTGGAAGACTGTTAATGGTCTGGAAGTTTTGGTCGGACAGGGTGTGCACCAGTTTGAGTACTGGACTGGTGTCAAGCCGCTGTATGCGGTTGCTAGGGTAAGTTTTGCGGTGTGAATCATGATTAGGATGAAGCTAACGTTACGCAGGATGCTGTGATCAACCAAACGGACTAGACGGGGAAGAGGTTTCTATCGGGTGGGGGATATGGGTGTTTTGGTCGTTCTTATGAACTTAGTGTAGATGAAAAGCACGATACATCATCATGCCATCTTCCGTTTGCAATGCCCAAATTATGTTGATGTGATGCAGTAGTCATAATGAGGTGGAGGTCATTACACGTCGAGCTGGCTACCTAGGTATGGTGATGTGATACCGCGCTGGCGCACGGATGTCTTCACGTGGCGCTCTAGTCTTTTATAGTGCTAGCGTCTGACATCATCCTGCGGTCCCGTTGGCTGAACAGCAGCACCCTGTCTCTGCTTTCTGCCAGCGCGGACATTAAGAAATACACGTCTACGAACGGCGCCATCCGTATTGACCAACTTCAAATCAACCCAGAAATTTTGGATGCCCAGTATATCGTTTGCGGGAGCCAAGAAACGCAAGACGCGTCATTCCGGTTACACCTTCACAAAAGCACGTCAAGAACCTGGAATCACCATGCTGGGCCCGGCCGAGAGCGGACTTTTGCGCCTAGTCGATGAACTCCTCCTCAACATCATCGACCACGTCGAAGGTCAGGATGCGCTTTGCAGTCTTGCTGCGACGTGCACGCGGTTTCAAGGCCTCGTTGAACCCTACATCTGGCGCAAACTAGTAGTCTTGACAGGAGGGCACGCGCAAAGGATTGCCACGGCACTGGACAGCCGGGACGATCGGACAGACTATATCCAGGATCTGGCTATTCGCTACAAAGATGAACATCGCGAGGGGATCGAGGACCTGAACCACTACCTGAGTTTGATGGGTAGGCTGCGTCATCTGCATGTCGAGAGCCCTTGCCCGAACAACTTGGAATGGCAAAATGGCATCTACTTTGATGGATACTCACGGATTGATTACAACAACTTGCTTGCAGCATCAGTGTATCCACGCGCGGGCATGTCGATGACGTTACCGATGCTACAGTCGTGTAAGTCGAGTGTTTCATGACAATGAGCCTAACTAACGAAACACAGTAACGCTCCACGCGCATGGTTCGGGAGACAACAAGTTCAAGTTAGGTCGCGCGGTCGCGATGTTCAAACATCCAACTCTACGACATATCACGTTGTCGTGTCTGAACTTTGATGGAGATCTCCAAATCTCCGAATCAGAGAAGAAGACAACATCCCTTCAGTCTCTAACGCTTATCGAATGTAACGTCAGCGTTCCGTTCCTAGACAATGTCCTCAGTCTACCCAAAGCTCTCAAGGAGCTGTCAATTGGAGAGCGACTGCACGTCTTCCAGGAATGCCAACCGTCCATGGATCCTGGACAACGCACATCCTCATCTCGATTCCTAATCGCGCTGCAGAAACAAGCACATTCATTGCAGCGCTTGACACATTGCGGTGGTCACGTTGGCTATTTGACCCAGCGCGACACCGATCCCGAAGGCGCTGAAAAGCTCCGCTCTCTCGTCGAGCTAGAGTACCTCGAGCTAGGTTTTGAGTCACACCTCTACTACTACCTACGACAAAGCGGCTTCCCGCCATCCCTCAAGTCGCTAAAGATGCTCGACTCCGCCATCTCCATTAACTCAGGCCACGACCTTCGCTCGCTCTCCGACATCGCCTTCCGCTCCCTCACCTCACTCGTAGAGGTCTGTCTACCAAGAACACTAGCAGACGACTTCGTACTCCACCTGAAGTTCTCCGACCACTCTTTCTTCCGCCTCTTCGAGATAGTCGACGCAACAGAACAAGCCCACCTCCTCAGTGCCCTCTTCTTCGACCGAGCGGCCACCTACAAGATCGCCACCATGCTCAAGTCATACAGCACAAACGCCCACTTCGTTGTTTCGCGGGAAATGTTTCCGTCGGGGAAGTCTTTCATTCCACCGTATATGGAAGGCGAGGAGCTGCCTGTCGAGGAGTTGATGTATACCAGCGACGACTTTTGGCGCTTCAACGGCATCAACTACCGTATCATGGACGATGAGAATTGGAGGGATGAGCTTAAGAAAGGGAAGAAGCTGGTTGTTTGTAAGAGGTGTCGGAGTAGGGGGTTTGGCGTGGATGAGTGTCGTAGTTTGGGTGATGGATCTGCTTGCATTCCTTGTAAGGGCACCGGGCTGGGGGTGTGCGAGTGGGAGAGAGATGAGAGTGGAGAGTTGGTCAGTGCTGGAGATGCTAAGGCGGAGTAAGTGGAAAATGTCTGGCTTGTTGACTTTGTGAAGATCTGAATTGTCGCAGGCGCTGCTTGGTGATGTAGTGGTAAGCGGTGCCCAATCAACGTTGGGCGGTCAGCAAGGTCTACGATGACATGCTATCACCGGAGTTTTGGCCCGAGAAACATCCTGTTTATTTCAACCAATTTGTTCTCTACATGGCCCGTTTTTGCGCCTTTCCACCGATTCAAGAGGGGATTCGAGTATCATCCGTCGCGTTGGTTTTGGGCGAGTTGTGAGTGGCTCCCCGGCTACATCTCGGCATTTGGGTCACCGCAGGTACCACGATAAACCGGATGGAGCTAGAGTCAATGTGGCTTCGCGCGCACAATAATTGTGTGAGCTAGTAGCGAGGAAGTATATATGACGGCTCCTCGTTCTCTCACTTCTGTAGTCCTACATCACAACGTCTTGGTATCACTTCACTCGGTATATTGAGAAACAAGTCGCAAGACTCAACGTGAAGGAAAGACTCAAAGTACTAGGGTCAAGACTCAGGGTATCTACCGCAAGAATTGCTGTGCCGAACGCAAGGCTCAAATTACTACGCACAAGACTGGAAGTACTTTACCAACGAGGTCGTGAACATTCGTAATTTCCGCACAAGACTGAAAGTATTGAGTGCTTGGTCAGAAGTGTCAAGCCGAAGACTGAGAGTATCAAACGCGAGGCTAAGAGTTTCGACGCCGCTATACACAACATGGATATGATCTCCTACACCAATGCAAGCTCTGCAGCTACCCTGCAAAGCGGTTTACGGGCCACCGCAATGAACGCTGAATCCCAGACGCCATCGCACACCTCTTCAAACTCCGGTCCGTTGCCGGGCTATACATGCATATTCTCGCAACTATCAGGGGAGCTGCGAAACCGCATATACGATTGTATCGTAGAAGATGTTGGTTCGTCTGCCATGCGCGTACACTACAATCCTGATCCAGCAATGCCATTCCATGAGCGATATCCAAAGCACAAGTGTATGGGCCTGACACAAGTTGACCGTAGAACGCGCACAGAGTTCGCGCCCTTGTATATGAACGGTCATTACTTCCACTTCTCCCAACTAGCTCATTTCTACCGTTCGGGTCTCGCTGGCAAGAACGATGCATATCCCGCGCTAGTCCGCCTCCTATCCATGATCAAAAAAGGACGGCTTAGACAACCAGCGGCAATGGAGTTCGACTCGCCAAACCCAGGTCTCGACGTAACACTCTTATTCCGGCTAGACCCGTATAACTGCGATGTCACAGGCCGCTGGTTCCTCGACACAGAATACAAGAGCCACAAGAACGGCCTTATCACCGGCGTTCTATGCCGCATGCTCGCATGTCTGCCGTCATGGTACCATCTGTTGGCGCCCGGAGCCATCACAAAGATCAGCATCTCGAAGTCCAGCTACCGGAGTGGCAAACCGTTCGTCCTCGTTACGGTGGAGCTTGACTCTGAGATCGAAGTCTCCCGCGCTGCGATCGTGCATGCGCTTGTTGAACGGGCGCTGGCCGCAGAGATGGATTTCTCGATGCCTGCTAGCGGACCGGCGGCATCCCACAATCTTTTGAGGGTGAAGTGTGTTTGGAGAGGCGAGAGGTGTAGGGAAAGACGTCAGTGCAAGGGGCGTAGGAGATCATGAGGGGGATGACGAATTGTGGCAGAGTGAATCTGGAGACAGTTCGGGAATGGGTGACAATGAATGTGGATGCAAGTCATCGGGGAAGAGAAGCAGCTCCAAATGCTGCCTAATCACTCTTCCAAATTGGTCTGTGTGCGCCCCGGGTACCTTATAATTACCCCTTCTAGTCTGCTTCCTACGTACACTGTCCCAATCAACCACTTAAGAAGCGAGCTCAACTGGCATAACCCAACATGGATGCCGATACAACAATGAACAATGCCTCCGATGTGGATGTGGTGTCGCGGCTTCTGGAGCTGCCCGGTGGTAAGCCCAACGTCGTATTTGCTCTGAGATATATGTATACTGACTTACGGCGAAGAACTGCGCAACCACATATACAGCATCATTGTTGCCGGAGAAGCAGCTCATGGAGTCAAGCTGCACCGCAAGCGCCGCGGCCGCTCTCAACACTCGAAACATGCTCTGAGAGACCGTCACCCTAGTCGCCAATTCCTCGGCCTTGCTCAGACGAACCAACTATTCCGCTCCGAGTTCTGGCCGCTTTACACGAAAGCCCACCGCCCTATCATCAACATCGAAGAGCTTGCCGAGTACCTTGAGGTCGTTCCGCACTCTGACGAATATATCAATAGCTCTATCATCACTACTCTGAAAGCCGTGCGCCTCCTCAAGACTCCCAAAGCCGTTGAAGCCCCTGGTATCGATATTCGACCTCTTTTCCGCATGAAGTGGAAATCGTTCCCATTCGTCGTTACCAAACGGTCCACGCATCGGTATTGCGAGGAGCACGAGATATTTCATTGGCTTGTAAACATAAGCTGCCGTAGGAGCCGGACCTATAACAAAGTGCTCAGGGATAATGGGGTCGTTGCGATCTATTTGCATAGACGCCATAACGCCGTTGGCGTGTCTCCTGCGGTGGAAGACGTTATCACAGTACGCCTGGGCGACCTCGTGAACATGAGACTTAGCGGAGACAGAGTTAGCATCTTCCAGAGTTTCGTTGATGCTACGAGAACACTCCTAGTATTCGGTTCCTGGAGTAACGTCGTGATGGAATGTACTAGCGGTATGCAGAAGATGACTGCGAGGAAGGGACAGACTATCCTTGTCGAACAATTGGAGGATATCTCGGAAGACGTGTGAGCAAACGCGTTACCCAGAGAGCGGTCGTGATATCTTGAGGAGAAAGAGGTGTGATGAGTTAGGAAGTTCATGAAGAGTGGAAGTTTCCGATGCCGTGAAGGCCAACTTCTGGTAGGCCTATGGGAGGTTAGTAGACACGTATGATAATGATGTTGCTTGCCCACTTCGGGTGCAATTCTTACCGCTATGCGACTTGCACTGTCTACAGGGCCAGATCGGTGACAACATTAGTGACAAATAAGCCAGACATGATCGGTCAGGACTCTAGATCGAAAATGAAGAATAAAGTGGGGACAATACTTATGATGATGAAGGGTATATTGACGGAGACCCCGTCGTCTAGTATGCTTACCATGATAACAGCAATGATCGATCACTGCCGCGTCCTGCGTATAGCTCCTACTAAAACCAATCGCAATTAAAAAGCGATCTCTCAGCATGGGCGCCCCGAGAAGACACATGTCCGCGTCAGTGATACACTCCATCAGCGGGAAGTATGGTACCGCTTCCCAAACCGTGCTCGTCGGAAGGTGACGCGCGAGCACCTTTTGCGCGATACGCGATAGATGTCCAAGACGAATGTATCGGAAGGAAGCAGCCGGCTCCTGGTAAGGTCTCGTGATTATGACGGGAAGGGCTTTGACGAGAAGTTTATAGAATGGGTAAAGAAGGGCGTATTCGGTGAAGTGCACACCGATTAGTACTGTATCGTAGGTGACCACGATCGACTGTTTCTCGATCATGCACCAAGGTCTTCTAGAAGGGATTGGCAGGTACGGAAGGCGGTGGAAGGGTGTTCGAGTACGAAAGCTTCGATGCTAAGGCAGCATGCTCTCCGTGTGTGCGCTTTGAAGAGGAAGAAAGAAAGTCGTCGTGCGCGGTTTTGAGTAGTTGGTGATGCTCGTCATGCGTTCCTGTAGCATCGTCAACGTGCGCCGCATCGCAATCTCTCGACCACAAAGTCTGTGCGATCTGTGAATCGTCTCTTGACCGATCCTCGCATTCGGTGGTGCTGCGGTCCGACTGGGGGTTGAATCGCGATATTAACGTGAAGGAACTTTCCGAGCGAAATCATCAAAGTGTCTAGGAGCGGAGGGGTGTCCTCTACGATAAGCGTTGTCGAAATCCCATTTGACAACAGGGTGCAGGATGCGAGACCCCGAGTATTTGTTCTTTCGAGAGAACAGGCGAAAGTGGCGTTTAGGAGCTAAGAAGACGTGAGTTGAACGGTGCGCGTTGGACTAGTGGCGACTTCCCGAGTTCCCGCGTGCAGTTCACTCCTCCTTCCCTGTGCCATCACTCGCCCAGGGCCAGCGGCAAATGCAAACATGAACCCAACATCACCATGCCCTTAATGCGCATTAACGCTCATTTACCGCCTTTGAAATCAGTAGTCGTCCAATCTTACATCAGGCTCGAGTTTGTGTTGCTGGTAACAGCTGCGGCCGTCAGCCTCGTGTACTGCAAGCCTTGCAGGCACAGCCTCAGCCAGCTGGCTCTTGGCTTGCACTGCTCACCTGGGCATGATATCACGACCACGATACTATACACAGATGCAACTACCGTGATTGCGCACCCAGGATGGTACGCCACGAGACGTCTAGAGCGTCGGTCGCACTGGTGCTCAGTGTGTCAACCGCGCGGAACCCCGCAAAAGCAACCACTAGCCGCACCTGAAGCTATCCTTCACACGCGCCACGCACGACCTTGGAATTGGCCCGACACGACGCCAGGCCCAAGCATCGGCGACCCCACGCGGGACCTCCATCAGGCTCAAGAGGCGCGGCAGATGGTTGCGATAAGCCCTGGATCGAGCTGATGGCTGCAAATGGAAGACTGCCGTGTGCATCAGCTGCAGGCTATACAGGTTAGCTTCTCACCTTGCCTTTCCATGTCGACACTGTCAGCTTTCTTTTCCTCGCTCCTCCTTGTTTTTTGGTCGGTGTGTATCTACACCCCTCCTCCCTGACACGTTCTACCCTCGGGATATTTACATCACCTCTCCTGCGTGCTCTGGATGCGCCTCGATTATCGTGTTGCTTTACAACATGATCCTTCGTCGATCTCGTCTTCTAAACCTCAAGCGGCCTAACGGATAGCGACTCTGGCGTCAGCGGCGCAGACCGCCTTGCAACTCGACAATGCCATTACCGTTCAACCAGGAATCATGGATCTGGTATACATGCGCTGTATGCATGATTGGGGCAAGACTGTGAGTGCAGTTTCCGTGCATTATCCCATCATATTCGTCTACTTTCAAGATCTGGTTTCGCATTCGAGAATGCGGCTTAGCATGCGATGTGATGCGCTGGCGGGCGACGTTGGGTTACTGAGCGCATCGGTGCTTTGCCCTTCTGCTGCTTGCATCAACTGCCTACGATCTACCATTAACTACCTGCTCATTGTACCAAATGCATGCATTCACTGACCAGATTCGTCATGCAGAATTTCGCGAAAGATGCTCTTTCGATCCGTCAAAGGCCTACAAATCGATGACTGGACTATGGGCCTCTTCGTCACCGCCGCCTATACCGTTATGATTGTGCTCGCGAATCGGTGGCTGAAAGTCCAATCGAATCTGGAACCGGAGAATTTCGACTTCAGCGCACTGACTATCGAAGAACTGGCGAGACGACGGTTCGGAAGCAAGCTCGTGGTCGTTGTAGAACAGATGCATATCGCCGTGATCTGGGCCTGCAAAGCATGTCTTTTGATCATGTACCATCGCATAACACGGACGGCGCTTCAGAAAGAGAACATCGCCATCAAACTGCTCGCCGGATATACGGCACTTGGGTTCATCGTTATAGAGGTCCTCTACTTCTCAGCCTGGTGTCGACCCTTTTCTGCATACTACGCAGTGCCGACTACTTCCTTCCAGTGCAACGCCTTGGTACACCACCGGATCACCAAAGCTGTGTTCAACATATCCTCGGATTTGATCATGCTATGTATCGCATTGCAGATGCTCATCCGATCCTTGCTACCCATGAAGAGAAAGCTTATACTCTGTGGCATCTTCTCTCTCGGTATCTTTGTCGTTGCTGCGAGCATCATGAACAGCTACTACTCCTTCAGCAATCCTTACAAATCAACGTGGATCTACTGGTACGTCCGAGAGTCCTCGACAGCCATCCTTGTTGCCAATCTACCGTTCACATGGACAATACTGAGGGAACTGTTCGACATGGGCAACTTCGATGACACGAACCCTCCCCCATGGACCTATCACTCTGCTCGTACGGCTGGAGGTCGCAAAACGGCACAACTTCTTCACCATCAGTCCGCGACAACGGCCGCACGTACAGGAGTCAGACGATCTCCGAACAACAGTAATGGAAGCAAGATGACGCAGAGTATGACCATGGTTGCCTCAAACATTACAAAAGACCAAAATAAATCGCCTGCTATTAGCGATAGGTCTGATTTTGCAGAGAAGGATCTACTGCAGGAAGCCATCCAGTCTCATGACTTCGCGCCCGCAGTACTACGTACCAGTAAAGACGGTATTGTGGACATCGACCTGGAAACTGGGCTTGTTGAGGAAGTCGATGCGCGGCCAGTCTCTCCCGACCACACGCAGCAACGCAACAAGCTCGTCTCGGCCCCGCCTACGATTACCCAAGATGGTACCGGGGGCTTCTACGTCAACGACCATCCTATCTCACCACCTTCGCGCGCGCATCTTGTTCTTTCGATGAGCGGAACGCGGGATAGCAGTATATCAAGCGCGCACAGGAGACCTTACAGTCCGACATCGAGTCTTGTCAGTGGTGCTACAGGAAGTCGACGAGGGAGTGCATCGACCCAGGGTGGAGTGGCGGGGCACACCGCGGGTGGAGGAAGAAGTGCGAGAGATCGCAGAGCGAGAACCAAGTTGAACGAGTAGAGTAAGTACATTATGGATGAAACGACGACTAGCATATACCCCTTGTAGACGAACCGCTTTATGGCACTTAGACTAAAACCTCTAATGTAATATAATACCGCACGCTTATCCGCATTCTCTGTTCGAGGGCACATCAAGGGCGCAGGATGCCGCATTCGGTGATAACTGCAGGGCTGTACGACGTGCCATGAGCCGGTGAACTAGATTTATGTGGGATTTCTGGAATGTAACGTTAAGACCAAGGGATGGTGTATCCTTCCTTCCCCAGACGACCAGGTAGGAAGGCACGTGAGAGAGCGACTTCGGCAGGCGCTAACGGACCCTTCCCTTGGTCCACTGACGCGAACTGCAACCACTGAGCATGGCGCGATTACTGACCGCCAGCCGCTGCAGGTGAAGCGCCATAGCTGCGCTCTCCTGCGCAACAACGCGGAAGTAGCTGGCGTGCAGGCCGAGTCATTCATCCGGTGTGCTCGCTATGGTATGTATGCCGTGCAGACTGCAGCCATGCCGCGCTCTAGAAGCTTTGAGGTGCGTTGGATGGCGACATGGGCTCGGCAGAAAAAGTGCAACAGCCGAAGGAAGCGAAAACCTCTCTGGCCCGTGACGACAGACATCCATCTTTCACCATGCTGCCCAATTCCTGAGCTGCCTGAGCTGCGACTGCTCCACCCAAGCATTACCAGGGCGGAACCTTAAAGTAACTTGGAACTAAATCTTTTCCATTATCGATAAGAGGAATTTCTCCGCGAGGGCCCTCCTTCCTTCACTAATCTCCTCTTGCTATACTGCCCGCCGCGAAGTTAGCACACGACCCCACCACCTCCACCAGCCGTCAACATGAGGAACATTGTGGTCCTGGGCGGCAGCTCCCACCCGCAGCTCACTGAGTAAGTCGACGCGCGGAGAAGCGGGCCATGGCTGTGACTAACTGGGCGACAGGACCATCTGCAACCACCTCGGCATACCCAAGGCCAAGGTGCTTCTCGACAAGTTCAAGGGTGGTGAGACGCGTGTCGAGATCGAGGAGAGTGTGCGAGGAAAGGATGTCTTCATCATCCAGTCCGGCGGCGGTAAAGGTACGAAGCCCTCGTGCAGGTCGCGCGCGCAT